TGAGCAGTAGTTTGTGGTAGAGAGAATATTCATTAAGTAAAAGGAGAGTTAAGCAGAGTAAATAAAACAAATAGGTAGGAAATCCAGGATTACACTTTAGAAAGATATGTGGGTAGCAGAAGGTTAGGGGACTGGGAAAATTACCTTTCTTTTCTTTAAAGTTTTTCCAGCTTAATTTAAGTATAATTGAAAAATAAAATATGTATATTTAAAGTATATAATGTGATATATATCCACTAAAATAATTATGACAGTTTGGTTAATTAACACATCTCACATTGTTGCCTTTTCTCTTGGTGAGAGTGTTTAAGATGTACTCTCTTTATCGATTTGAAGTATCACTCACTCACTGTCTCCAGCACCCTTAGTCACTCAGTTTATCAATTTGAAGTATCACTCACTGTCTCTAGCACTCCTGGTCGCTCAGTTGTGTCCTACTGCTTGTGACCCCATGGACTGTAGCCTGCTAGGCTCCTCTCTCTGTGGGATTTTCCAGGCAAGAATACTGGAGTGGGTTGCCGTTTCCTTCTCTAAGGAGTCTTCTTGACCCAGGGATTGAATCCAAGTCTCCTGCACTGCAGGCAGATTCTTTACCATCTGAACCACCAAAGTATACAGTGTAGTATTTATAACTATAGCTAACATGCTGTGCATGAAATAGCTACCATGCTATGCATGAAATCCCCAGAACTGATTCATCTTACATATGAAGGATTGTACCCTTTGACCAGCATCTCCCACCCAGCTTTCTCAGTGAGATAACAAACTAATGAACTTTGAAATCTATGATTAGAGGGAAGTAAAAGGAAGAATAAAATGAAAGATGAGCATATTTTATTCATTGTTCCATCAAGTAATATCTACCATACTACAGACACCATGCTAGGTAACTTGGTTTATAACCTAAACAAGGTAGAGTCTGTCCTTGCCTTCATGGAACTAGTGATCTAGTGCGGAAGAAAGTTGCCAAACAGTTGGAAGTTACAGAAGAGGGTTAATCAGTATCTTTACAGGCCATTTTCTCTTTTAGAGGTTTCACATCTTACTCCACTATATCCACATTGCCTGCACAGTCAGTATAGTAGGCACCATGGGTTGCATGCCAGGGAATCTTAAAGAAATTGATGACCTCCCTTCCACATTTGTGATGGCATAGCAGAGCTGAGTTAACACTTGCTAATCTAGACAGCATATTAAAAATCAGAGACATCACTTTGCCAACAAAGGTCCATCTAGTCAAAGCTATGGTTTTTCCAGTAGTCATGTATGGATGTGAGAGTTGGATGGTGAACAAAGCTGAGCCCTGAAGAATTGATGCTTTTGAACTGTGGTGTTGGAGAAGACTCTTGAGAGTCCCTTGGGCTGCAAGGAGATTCAACCAGTCCATCCTAAAGGAGAGCAGTCCTAGGTGTTCATTGGAAGGACTCATGTTGAAGCTGAAACTCCAATATTTTGGCCACTTGATGCAAAGAGCTGACTCATTTGAAAAGACCCTGATGCTGGGAAAGACTGAGGGCAGGAGGAGAAGGGGATGACAGAGGATAAGATGGTGTGGATGGCATCACCGACTCAATGGACATGAGTTTGGGTAAACTCTGTGAGTTGGTGATGGACATGGAGGCCTGGCGTGCTGCAGTTCAAGGGGTCACAAAGAGTCAGATACAACTGGGCAACTGAACTGAACTGAATCACCTGTATCATCAATTTTCAGTTAGACTCACCAATTTAAGGATAACTTCTCCTTGTTCTTTCTAGTTCTCCCCTCAGAATATATCTGAGGAGTTTTACGGAGAAAAGGAAAATAATGAAGTTAAATTTGAAGTTAAGAATGGAAAATAATTGAAAGCAGTCAAGATAGGGAAAAAAGCAGAATTGGAGCAGAATGATACTTTTTAAAGTTATGTATCACTTGCTTGAGACTGAAGAAATCACTATGGAAGAAATTTAAAGCATAATTAATGGACACATCCCTCCATATATTTGATATGAGCAAAGCATCTAATTTCAGTTGTTCTTCAGAATAAAAAGACTTTCTCTTTGGGGAAAATGAGAGAAGTCTGGATTTTACAGTGAGACTTTTCTAAGCAAATTGGAAAATACATCAAAAATCCTGAATTTTTGGCATGTGGCTTTCTCAAGAGAAAAATGGATATTCATAGTGAACATACCATAAGAATCTGCTCTGAGGAAGGGCAGTCTGGCAAAAAATGTCAAAACTTGAACAACTTTCTCTTGTGCCAGACCAACTGGATCATAGTTTCTTTTTAAAAACAGAGTACTAATCTAGACACTTTAAAAATACTAGTTGCTAAAAAAGGATGACATTGAATGTTTACTCTGCTGAAACAAAAAAAAATTCATTCATGGAAGACCGAGATTTCAGATTTCTCAAGTTGTACAACAGTGGAATTTGGCCATAATATAGGATTTGATCAAATTTTGTAAGGATGTCATGAAACAGACAGCAGTCACTGGATATCTGGATGCAGTACCCATCAACATCTGCATAGTTTGCAGTGGTCATTATAAGATGAAGGGTTTTGATCCAGTTTAGTCCAGCCAGAGGCAAATCTGTTTAAGAAAGGAGTAGTGTTTTATAAAATGTGATGTTATCCACTGATTATACTTTCACTCATCAACTTGAAAAAGGGGGCAACAATAAGTTGGAAACTTTGTAACAGAAATGTATTCTGCAGGCAGGTATAAAAGATTGTTGGTTTTCAGAAACAACTAAATTAGTGAAGGGACATAGAGATAATATTAAAGCAAACAATAATACTGTCTTAGGACAGCAAAGTATAGTTGAAACCATCCTTTGAAAATATAGAAAATGCTATCACTGGCAATAAAAATTCAGCTTCCAGCACATGAGATTAAATATAAATATTGCCATTTTGTCTAGGATGAAGACAGTGGCAACCATTCTTCTCCCAAAAGCTGCTCAGCAAGTTGTTTATCTCCAAAGATTATGACATCTTGTCCACTGAGTCAGAAGATGTAGAAATGGAGAACACACTTTCTGAATTTCTCAAAATGTAACAGTTGGATGACAGTTTAAAAACCATTCCATGAATTTGCTTACCATCGAGATGAGGAAAAGACTTGATTTCACCTAGCGAGAAGTATAATGAGGAGGAGAGGAAAGGAAATTAAAAATTACGAGAGTGATGAAATGTCCACTACTCCAATTGGTCCTGCAGTTGAGGCAAGTTTAGGCATGTGAAGGATATCTTGATACTTTGGGAACTGATACTCAGTCCAAAAACTCCAAGGCTGTTGAACAGGTAGCTTAGCTGCTGGATAATTGTCTTAACTTGGGAGAAAGATTTACTAATGGGTTCATTGGGTATGCTTACATTCCACAGCTCCTGGGGGTGCCATCCACTTCTCGCTCTTTCTGAGCAGAACTCTTTGGAGTCATTCAGGATGGCAACACTGCAGGACTCAGCCCTTCCCACCCAACTCCCTGAGGGTAGACAGGGAACAGCATCAGTTCCTTAAAGGATGGTAAGACAGTGTGAAGAGGCTTTGCCACTCCAATCCTCCCAGGAAAGGGAAGCAAGAAAAAGAGCTCCTAAGACTCCTTCTCATAGCAGAGGAGGTTAATTGCCTTAGCTTTGTATTTCTGAGGTACTTAGTGGGCTTAGGTATAATGTAGGGTAAGCTGGAGGTTCCCAGCCTTGAGTGGGAGTCACTGAAATCCTCCTGCTCCTTCAGGCTTTTGGAGCTTAATTAGAGGAGCCAGAATTCCTTTATAATGGTCTCTCTCATATGGAGGTAGTCTGTCCCATATGGAGGTAGTCTGTCTCATAGAGGTAGTCTCATATTGAGGTTCCAGTGGTAAGCAGTTGGGACCTCAGACAGACAGACAACTTCTAATTTAAAATGTGTAGTAATGAAGGAAAATTTTAAGGAAAGAAATATCACTTGGAATTCCACTATGTTCACATAATTTTTAGCTTTTGCATATCACTTTCTTTCCATTCTTTGCTCTCATACTTATATACATATTTTACTTAGTTGAAACACACTGTTCATATTCATTGTGTATGAACATTTAATGTCACTTTGTTTTATTTTTATAGCACACACCAATGTTAATGGATAATACTGACTGAGCTTTTAAAATGTGACTATTCTGAAATGAGATATGCTATGAATATAAAATATAGACTGAATTTTGAAAAAAAAAGTATAAAATATCTCATAAATAAGTTTTATATTGATTACATGTTGAAATGGTAATACTTTGTATATATTGAGTTAAATAAAATATATTATTAAAATTATTACTAAATTATTAAAATTAAGTTCACCTATTTCTTTTTACTTTCAATGTGGCTATTAGAAGATTTTGAATTATATATACAGCTTGCATTACATTTCTGTTAAACTGCACTGGTATAGATTATCATATACAAATTGTGAGATCTTAAAATTCGAAAATAAACTAAAGTTGCAGCCATAAGGAAATAGTTAAATCATCTTTGGTATATTTACTAGGTTCAATATTCTGCAGCTTTAAAAAGTATAGACACATGAATGTGGCCAAATATATCTTTCGTCTTCAAATTTAAGAGTACCTTGGTCTGTTTGTGGCATTGGGATATATTAAGCTAAAAACCTTATTTTTTAATTAAAAAAAAAATTACTGGGTAACACTGATTCATAGGCTCAGATCTAGGTAAATAAGGTGATGGTGGTGTATTTGTTCTCTCAAAATGATATGAAGGAGAAAGGACAAGCCAACTATATATCTCTTCTTTCCCACTGCTTAGTGGTGATGAGAAAGTGAAATGCCAAAGGATAGGATGGTTGATAAAATATATTGTTTGTAAAGGAGTGAAAGCTGAAAGAGGAACATTTACATCTTTTACCACTTTGAAAAATGCAAAGAAAATGATAAAAACTGAATATAAGATTCTTTTAAAATAATTAAAGCTTTGAAAATGACTTGCCGTGTTCAACTGCTTGATCTTACTGAATTTTTTCATTCACAGATTCATGGTGTTGCTATCTAAAGTTGAGAAATCGTCAGAAGAATTCATGGAAATAATGCAAAATTTAAGTAGTATACAGGTTTGCTTATTTTGGCATATAATTTTTCATACTTCTGTTACCCCATTAGAAAAAGAATAGGAGAATCCAATCCTGGAAAGAGTTTACAGAAGATATATTCATTTTACTTTTCATAAGAATTTCTTACATAAACATTAATTAACCATAATATTTTAGTAATACCTGACTTCACATTGAAAAGTAAATTTATCAATTATGTTTTGTCTTTGTGGTTAAAAGATTGGTTTTATTCAGATATTTTAAGGCTTTGGTTTTATTCAGATATTTTAAGGCTTTAGTTGTTACCCTACCAGAAAAAGTTAAATTTCATTATCACAGAGTTTTAAGTTTTTCAGAGAAAGGAAGCAGTGTACTGTATTTTCACTAGAGTTTTCAGTATTATATTTATAGAGAACTTAACTCATTTAAAATGCCTTTCTTTTAGGCTTTGAAGCGCAGTAAAGAGCTTGAAAATCTCATTGGTATCCCCCATGCATCATGTGTCTTTAAAAGAGAAATGCAGAAAACAAAAGAACTAAGTAAGAGAAATTTTTTAGTTGTTTGGTTTTTTTTTTTTGTCCCCCCCACCCCTAATTTATGAGTTTTTAATGAGTTTCTCTCTATTGCTTGTTTGTAAACTTAGAACAGAAAACCACATATCTTTTGCTAGGATATGTTAGTTCAGGGATTCTTCTTGAATGTGAGGGAAAGAGTGTTCCTTGGTAACCTGTATTAGGCTTATTTGATGTAGTTCTCATTCTTTACATAAGATATATTTTGTACTTGATACTTATAAAAATATGTATTTTTTTTTAAGTTGTTTCTTCCAAATTGAGAAATGATTAATATCCCGTATTAATTTTTTTTTCCTTTAGTGACTAACGTAATAAAGCAAAAACTATTTAAAAAGAAGAATTCAGGACTTCCCAACAAAGGTAAAGAGTTCTTAGTTTATTGTATAAAGAGATCCTTTCATCTCATTTTACCATTTCAACCAATTGTCATGAGCCCTTTTCTAGTGTATTCTTTTAAAAGACCACCAATTCATTTGAAAAACATTATACTGCATTTAGCAGAAGACCATGTCTAGTAGATCAATTTTCCTGATGATTGAACTTTTGAAATACAGTTTTTAGGTTAAGAGTTATAGTTTTTTCTTCTATTAAAAGTTCTTTTTGAAAATACAGACAGATGGGGCAATAATGCATTATATATGGCAGATTTTAATGGTGATTTAGAAAGATACACAAAAATAAAAAGTTACTTTGTAGGCAGTGTTCTGAGATTTTTAATAATGTTTGCTCTACTGTGAACTCTTATACCTCTGAGCATTTCACACTATGGGAAACTAAATTAGGAGACTTTTAAGTTCCCACAACACATGCACATTCACACCTTAGTAAGCAAAATAATCACAGACTATAAAATATTAAAGCCACTAGACCAACTTGAGGGATCATTTTAATATTACTGACATGAATGCCATTTGGCAATAAACGGAGGTAGGCCTTGAAGTGGGTAGTCATGTGTTAGTCTACCATTTTTGAGTACCAGTGACTTCCCCTTGTTGAGGAGTAATAATTACTATGATCTCAACACTAGGATCAGCAGATCTATACAACAACCCTGCAAGATAGCTGTTATTGTCATTATAGATAAGGAACAAAGACACAGTAAAATGTTGAGTAGTTTGCCAAAAGGCACTGCTACTTAAGTGTCAGAGCAGGGATTCCAACTGAAAACCAGTCTCATGTCAAAAAGTGTGGACTTTTGTGTTTTTCTGTGTTGTGTCTTCCTAAAACAAATGAAAGCACCCAGTCATTCCAGCTCTCAGGTTCAAACATAAGACATAACTCAGCCAATTTAGTCTGTGTTTAGGATCTTTAACGAAGTTAGCGATGAGTTTGCAGGAGGAAAAGCTGGGATTTCCTGCTGGTCAGTTCCAGAGGCCAACTGGGTCATGGCAGGGTAGCAGTCATGGAAAAACTCTTCCAAAACTCATGTGTGAAGATATCTGAGCAGGCTTCCTGGGCCCTTCAGTTGGACAGCTGCCTCGCATTAGGATCCATAGAATTTAAGTGCGTACAAGCAGCTCTTCCCTAGAAAAGGATTGAGATCATTTCTCCAGTGCAGTGTATCTTGATCATAGTGTGTAACTGGCTTTCAATGATTTTAATCTCTACTGACTAGAAAAGTTTTAGAGGATCATAATGGGAAATTGGAATATTTATTATTTCTCAACTAGAGAAAATCTTTCTTTTATATATTCAATAGCAATGGTGTAAATTTTTTTTAATCTGTTAATTTCCTAGAGCTAATTAGAATTAGGCTTTACATTAGGCTTTTGCCAACAGTTTTGAAGAATGAGGAAGGGAAAATTATAGAACAAATAGATGAACTGTCTCTGCTAATAATTAATGGGAAAAAATTTCCCAAAAGTGTTATTTCCTTCCGTAAACATGTATATAAGACATTAAAGTTATTTTCACGTGTTAAAACAGTCACCTCCTTTCAGTTATCCAATACATAGGGATTCTTTGTATGTTTCTGCATGAATCAGCCTTAAATCTATTTTCTAGTATTTTAGGCATTGAAACTGACTTGCCCATTATCAGGTTTTCCGTGAGAGCTGAGTGTTTCTTCATGCATAGAGGAGATTGTATCACTAAATCATGTTTTAAAGGTTCTAATAAGCATTGGTTATTTGTTGTGGTTTAAATGTAAACTGAACTAACTGAGCTAAGATACATTATATAATATAAACTATATGGTAAGATATATATGAGAATATAGAAGTCACTTTCCATTTTGTTTCTTGGCAAGAGCTACATTGACTCTTTATACTTACTGAGGTATTCAAATCTTCTTTAGTTTTTCCTCTTATTTTTTACATTAATATTGCCTGGAAAGTAGATTAAAGCTTTTTTTTCTACTTTGAATTTGAGCTAAAGTTTTTACAGAATGCTTTTCCCTATTTTTTTCTCCAGTTCGTAATGTATATATATATTTTTAATTTTGGTGGGGTTTTTTTTTTTTTTTTTGGTTAAAGATGATGCACACCAACACATGCACATTATATATAAATTTCTTTGCCAAGTTAACTTTCACCCCCTTCTATTCATACATTCATTTTTATAGCACTTTGTTAGTTTTTTTGACAGTACAAACTAATTTGCTTTACATATTCCTTATTTGGGGATCTAACCATAAGCTTTTTACAGAAATTTCTACTTTACTCTTCTTTTACTATGCTATTACCCAGAATTATTTAAATTTTAAAAATGTTCTGAGAATCTCCATAATATTAGAAATTTATAGTTAGAAATTACATAATATAAAAACCAGCTAATATGTTTGTAATATGTTTTAGATGTTATATTAGGTAATTAATGAAAATGAGAGTAAACACATTATTTATTTCACTATCAGAAGAATGTCCCTCAGATTTTTTTTCCTTCAGATTCTTGTCAAATTTTCCTAGAGTAGTTAAAATAGACAATACCAGGGAGAATTCCAGCATTTGTTTTGTCATTTTGCCTTTGAATTAATCCTTTAGTTCTGTTTATTTTTTTCATCTTACTGCTAATTTGTTTAGCAGCAGTTGTAGTTTTTATTGTTGTCAGAGAAGTATAATTGTAAAGATAAAACTCTAGTGTTTTAAATAGACATCTGAGACACATTCTAAGGCTTTGTATAACCTATTCCATGGGAATTTAAAACATCCACATTAACATTAAAAGGTAAACTAAGATTTTCATAATTTTCAGAACTGGACCTTGCTAATTAGGGAATGACTTAATAAAGCATGTGAATAAAGAAGACCTCCTTTACAGAATACAGATTTCTTAAACAAAGGAAGGCTTCTTTTTTCAGTTAACTTAGGAAGTAAGCCTATCTTCACTTTCCTTAATAATATTGGCTTTATGACTATTAGAAGGATAATGAAATGAAAGGTTTTTTCTGTTATATTTGGATGTGAATTTTCAAAATTATTTTTAATTTGTTATGCCGAAGATTTAAAACATATGACCATTCAGTGGGTTGATACAGAAGGACTGTCACATTATCATCACATGAGAAGGCATGAAATTTATTTACTTTACATAGTCATCCTCTGTATAAAACAACTTAATACAAATATTCCTGAGACAATAGGTGGCATTATATGGTACTGAGTATTTTCATTTTTTCTGGAGATAATTAGAAAATACCATCATTGTTTGTCCATGACTAGTACTTCCAGTAAACAAAATGTTTTTTAAAAGAATGTAAGCAAATTGTAGAGCATTTGCCAAGATATGAAATCTAGACACTTAGCTTCAGTCCAAAACATATTTTATCTGTTCTGAGAATAATTGTGTAGGTTGAAATATGCATATTTTAAAAGAAATGTAACCATCTGAACTTTACATTGTTCCAAAAAGTTGATTGTTTCAGCTGTCTGTAATACTGAATATTTCAAACTTTCTAACTTTGGCCTTAAAAAAAAAAAAAAAAACGCAAACTATAAATGTTCTGATTTTCTTTAACTAAATTACTGTCTTCTTGCATTGTAAAACTCATTTTCGTTATAGGATTTTTGAGGTTTTCTAACTCTTGGTCCAAAGGACAAATTTTAAACTCCTTCTGTTTTAAGACTATATAAATAGTTTAATATTGCCTTTTCATTCTAACCACCCACTGAAGTATTTTTTAACTTAAAAATATGTTGTTCTTTCCCCCACTCAGTCTTGAAAAAGTATTTGTCATATCAGCTAAATACTTTTACTCCTGGAAAACTGCTTCCCTTTTATTTTTTTCTGTTATAGCTTAACATGAAGCAGTATCTTTTTTCAAACAAATACTCCAGTATTAAAAATTTAGGTTTGAAGTTTAGACATGAATTTTAGAAGAAACAACAAAAATTCCACTATGCTTTTAACATTCTTAGTTTATTTAGAGCTGAAAAATAGTGATGTTAGTTTTGGTAACACAAATACACATTAATGTACAACTGTAGTCCTCAGCTCTTTATATGAATTCAGTTGTCACTTATCCTGTATGTGGATCATACCTTTTCCTCTTATTAATGTTAATGCTTGTGCTTTACATTGTTCATCACTGTTTGGGGGCTATATTTCAACTGCTTACTTGAGATTTGTCTCGGATTTAAGGAACACAAACTGGTTTATTACTTTTCAAAGCCTTTTAAATAATTTCTCCTATGATCTAATTTTTTTATACATTATTAAAAGTATGGTGCTTTTATCTTTTAAATAATCTGTTAAACTTTTAAAGCATAGATTTTTAACTCACTTAATAGCAATTATGTGTTTAAGAGGTGTAAATAACTTGCTATCAGACATTACAAATATCCAGGTGCTCTGTATGTGCTGATGACAACAAAATTGAAACGGAAGACTGTAATAATTCTGACTGGTTTTCTCTGCAGAAGATATTGATTATTTGTGTGTGGTGAGAGATTTGGAAAATTCAATTAAAGGAGTTGTGCAAAGGTTTCATAAATTTTCCTTCTACAGCGTGTACACAGACATTGTTGCGTATTAAATCAATGCAGCACTTCACAATATATTTTCTTTGAAACATAAAAATAAATAACATTTAAACAGTTCTGCTTACTACAGAAACAAATTTTATTTTCTGTGAAGCATTTAGTCATGTGCTATCACTGACTCATACACATTTGCCAGCTGTAACAAATTTTATAGACATTTTCTCCAGAGACATATCTCACATACTATGAATTTTTAAATGAGCAAATGGTGAAGAAGGGATGTCAGCAATATAAAAATTGATTAGTTAAAAGATAAAAGCATAAGTAAAGAGATTTGTATGGTAGTCTTAATAGGTTTTATTAAATAAAAATACTATAAAAAGACAGTAATGAACAGACTGAAGACTAACTGTTCTTGAGGTGGAGAAAAATTATTCTGGC